ACAAAACCAGACCTGTATCATGCTACATATCTTACTATCCAAAACTTGTATAGTAATGCCAAGAAAACTGTCAAAACCTGCTCCTAAACCTGCAATGCTGCCCTGAAAAATCTGCATCATATCAGTCCCATATTTGCATAAACTTAGCACATAAGAGCTGCATCTAAAAAGCAATAAAATAGTGTACCCAAACAGTTCAAAAACTTATCTATTACCCTCCCAAATTTCAGTCAATTTCATCTATAAATAAGCCGCTTCACAACACACAAAGGAGAGGTTTTTTTGAGAGAAAAGAGGGAAGAGAAAAAAAGAAGATTTGGAAAAACTTAACAGAATTCTTTGTAAACTCTGCTCATCTACTTTCATTCACAAAACAAAAAATGAGAAACAGAAAAAAACCTCAACCCACTGTTCAACCTTGCAAGTTTTCCCCTAAATAAATTATCCAAACACTTCACATACATCATATAGGAGTTTTTCAAACACAAAAATAACTTCTGTAACATCACTATTTTCTAAACTCAAAAACATCCACCTCCAACTTGACTTCTCCAAGACAATACAACAACTCAAACTCAAAACACAAATTTTAGTTTCAAGGTAAGTGTTCTTGACTTTGAGCTCTTCATACAAGCATCATTAGTGGTTCATTTGTGAAGATAAAATGTATATATCATAATCATGAAGCTAACTGTATGCTTACTTTTCATTTTCACTAACCATGTGTTAAGAACTAACTTATATGTGTGACGAAATAATGTTAGAAGTAAAAAAACAACAGTATGAGTCAATGCATATATCTATGAGTCGACACATATATGGTACAAAATAGGTTATGATTCGACGCATATCTCTATGTTTCAACACATATTAGGTACAAAAACAAGTTACGAGTCGATACAAAACACGAATGAGTCGATGCAAAACAGAAATGTGTCGATACAAACCATTATGTGTCGACTCATACTGAGTTGGTTTTGATTTCTAGGAGCAAGAAATGATATGTGTCGATGCATAAGTGTATGTGTCGATGCAAAACAGGTTATGAGTCAACACAAACCTTTATGTGTCAAATCATACTGAGTTGGTTTTGAATTTCAAGAACAAGGAGTGATATGTATTGATGCATAAGTGCACGCGTCAATGCGTAAAAGTTTTCGTATCAATGCATACGTGCATGTGTCAATACATAAAAGTTTAAAAAAAACAATTTTATTTTTTACATTATCTTTATTATCTTAACATTCTTGTATATTATTTATTCATTCAATATGGTTGTAATAATAAAATTAGGTTTTATTTTCTTTTACCTCCTCATTTGTAAATTTGTACCCCAATCCCAAAATGATGTAATAGCGTAGGATTTTAATTTCCACAATTTATCACTTTTAATATAATTGTTAGTAATTAGGATGTGTATGGTAAGATAAAATCAATCTTAGAGAACCCTAATCTCAGAGACAAAAATGCATGCATTCAAAACACTTTTCACACGCGCACTTCTAGGGTAATCTCACTTGTTACCTACGAATAAATATTCATGTCCCTTGAATGTGGGACGCTTTAGCAAAGAACCTCGATAAAAAAGATTGTAGTCCCTCGATGATCCTTCGACGTTGCCTTTGGTAAAACGGTCTTAGTCCCTTACGACAATTGCTAAAGCTTCTCATAAGCATTGGTCGAACCATGTCGAGGACTGTTCAATTCTTTCTTTCCGCCACACCATTTTGTTGAGGTGAGTATACTGCAGTCAGAAATCTGCTTATGCCTTGCTCTTCACAGTACTTCATAAAGGTTGTCGAAGTATACTCCCCACCTCTGTCTGATCGAAGAGCTTTGATGTTTCTGTCTGTTGCTTTCTCCACCATTATCTTAAACTTCTTGAATACTTCGAAGGCTTCTGACTTTTCTTTCAGAAAATACACCCAAGTTTTCCTTGAGAAATCAACAATGTGTAATTTTCCAAACACACATTCTTCACAGAACTTTCCTTCGAATTCTACGTCTGGCAGTCCATGCACCTTATTTTTCTTTGCTAACCTCCTTAGTCCAGCCTGATGTAGATGACCAAAACATAGATGCCACAGGGATGCTTGGTCTTCGACATTGACTTGCAAATACTTTTCTCGAATGCTTCTTAAATTCAACTTGTACATTCGATTTCTCCCCATTTCGACTTGAGCAACCAGACGTACTGACTTGTCTTTTAAGTGAAAACTTCGATCTTCCATGAGTATCAAATAGCCCTTTTCTGTGAGTTGTCCCAGACTCAAAATATTTACTTTGAGGTTTGGTACATAGTACACATCTTAGATTAATCCTATCAAATCATCCTTCTGCAAGAAATCGATTGTTCCTTTTCTTTCGACCCTTACTTTCAACACATCTCCAAAGGAAACATGACCATCCTCAATTTTCTTTATTTCTTTGAACAAGTGCTTATAACCACACATATGGTTACTTGCTCCCGAGTCCAGGTACCACATAATGTCATTTTCTGTATCTGCTTCCTTTTGAGTCATTAACAGAAATTCTTCATTTGATTCTGTTTCTAGGGTAAGATTTGTTGTTTCTTCTATCTTTCTTCTGAGTCGACAATCTTTTGCAAGATGTCCCACTTTACCACAATTGTAGTAACTATAGGAGTTACAATATTTCGCATAGTGCTCCTGTTTGTTACATTTGTAACATTCGATACTGTTGTAATTCGACCTACCACCTTTCTGGCCACGTCCTCTGCCACGCCAGTTTTGTTGGCTTGACGGTCCTCTGTCGAAGTTGTTATTTTGGTAACTTCGACCACCATTACGTCCTCTACGACCATGTCCTCTCCCACGCCAATTTTGAGAGAAAAGTTCATTTTCGTCTCTGTTGGGTTATGCATCCTCAAGTGTCTCCTTTTTCTTCTTTATTTTGCGTTGTTCATGTGCCTCAAGTGAACTAGCGACTTCTTTGATAGTAATTGTCGAAAGATCATTCGCCTCTTCTATTGTGCATACTATATTTTCGAACTTATTTGTCAAAGATCTCAGAATCTTTTCGACAATACGAGCATCAGTCATTGCTTCTCCATTTCGATTAAGTTGATTTGCCACCGTCTGCACACGAGTGATGTAGTCTGACACGGACTCTGTCTCCTTCATCTTCATTCTCTCCATTTCTCCTCGAATAGTCTGCAAGCGAACTTGCTTGACTCTATCTGCTCCTTTGAAAGCCTTCTCTAGTGCGTCCCACGCTTCCTTCGACGTAGTCGAACCAACAATCTTTTTGAAAACTGATTCGTCGACTGCTCTGAACAGCATGTACAATACTGTTTTGTCCTTTGCTCGCGCTTCTTTCAACGCCTTGTTCTGAACAACTGTGTTTACCGTCATATTTGATGGTTCTTCAAACCCATCGTTAGTTACTTCTCATACATATAACGATCCCAGAAGCGCCATCATTTGGATACTCCAGTTCTCATGATTCGACTTTGATAGTCGTGACAGTGACATTTGACCTACCATATTTGCCATGCGCTCTGATACCAATTTGAGGAGAAAATGGGAGTGGACTTTAAACTTACTTTCTTTTATAAAATGTCCAACTAACTTTTAATATGAATACAAAGTGATTTATATAAAGATCACAAGATAAAATATTAAATGTTATAACATTAACTATTACTAAGTTCCTAAGAAATAAATTTTCCACTGTCCAAAGAGAATCTATTTTTTTACACTACCAAATACAGATTTAAATTTAACCAACATTAAAATCATCAGCGACAATACTGTGGTGAGATCGTATAACTTTAATTCCCACGAATAATCCTGGTGATCTAAAATAGATATATACGACAATAAAATTTGTAGAAGCACAACGATGGCAACGACATTTCCTTAAAATGCATAAGTATTTTCCAACCCTGAGTAAAAAATATTTAATAAATTAAAAATATGTTCTGTTTTTTTCTCAAAACCCCTCCTCATTAGTTAAACATCTGTCAAAAGAAGGGAAAAAAAAAAAGTTCCGCGTGCTGGTGGGTCGTGAATACCCATGACCCGTTTGGTTTCACTTCCCTTTTGTGGACTCAAAAAAGCATTAAACTTTTGGGGGAAACAAGAACACGAAACTCGGCGAGATTCATTTTTTTAGACTAAATCACTGCACTTTTTTATTATTTCTATTGCCTTTGCTTCTCAACTAGCCTTCGTTTTCTTCAATTCCCATTTCCCTAACACAAAACCAACAACATAGTATTTTTATATTACTATTGTTCTTGTTTTTTGTTTTGTCCCTTCTTTTTTTTTTCTCGATCGGATCTGAGGGCTCTTGAGAATTGCAGAAAGCCAAATCAAAGTAACATCACTTTCCGGCACATACAACTTTTTTTCTTAGCCATGAAAGAACCTTTCTTTCTCTTCAAATGCATTGCCAATTTTCCCCGTTAATCAGGTATGTCTCTTACCATACCCTTTTGCTTCCTTTCTTTGTTCTTGTAGTATAATCAAAGAGATAGCTTAACTTGTCTTCTCAAGAATAATTAAAGCTAAAAACTTTAACTTGGAGTGTTGTTACAGTTTTTGGAATAAAGAAACACTAGAGGGTGTGAAAAATTTTAAGTTTTTCTTTTGTTTCTCTATACTCTGGTGGTTTGGTAAGTTTGTTGAAAGATTGGAACTTTGTCATCTGAAACCTTTTTTTTTTAATTGCTTTTTTGAATTATTTTGTTTTGGGTTAGTGGGGTTTGTTTTTTTATTTTATTTTTTATCTTAATTTGGTGTTTCAATCGCTTTCTGTCAAATGGGTTATGTTTAATTGGATGAGTGTTAGGTGATTTTATCTCCAATGAAGATTTTTTTTTGGGAAATTTTCTGACATATTCTTGTTACTGTTTTTTGTAGTTGTTTTCATGAGATTCTGTAGCTGTTTAGGAGCAGTTTTTTTTTATTTTTATAAGTAGTTCTCAGTAATTTTCTTAGCTGATTTGGATTTTGCGGCTTATTAAGAATTTCTTGATGGAGTTGCCTGTTGATGGAGTTGAATCTTTACCAGAAGTTCAGAATTCAGTTTCTGGGATAGATCACAATCCACCTTCGACATCTGGGATCCCCCATTCTTCTCGGCTGCCTTTACGGGCATCTAGAGATCAAGAGCCTTCTTCCAATCATCATAATCAAGGAAGGATGAATGATATCTATCAAGAGGCTAACAATGTGGATCATCAAGTTTCAACTAAAATGGAGAAGCAATATTATAAGCGTAATGGTAAATCTGATGATATTGAAACTTTTGAAAGTTGTTTGGCAAATAATATTTCCACAATTGAAACAAAATTGTGCATCAGCAAAGGTTCCACGAAATACAATTCTGATGACATATTAGAATCTGATAATGACATATTAGGTTCGTCGAAACAAGTTGTTGATCAGAAAAACTCTGAGATTACATTTTGCTCAAGTCCTCAGAATAGTTTATATTCTGCCACTGTTTATTCAGAAGCAAAAGAAAGTTTCACCAACACCGGAATCAATGAATGTGTTAGTGTCGATAAGTCAGTTGAAAGTGGAGAGGTTAGTAATTCATGTGAGAGCAGGAAGACGAGCATATGTAGAGGGAGTACCGGAAGTGATGTTAGTGATGAGAGCAGCATCAGTAGTTTGAGCAGTTCTTTGTATAAACCACATAAAGCAAATGATGTAAGATGGGAAGCAATTCAAGCGATCCGAGTTCGGGATGGTGGATTGGAAATGAGACATTTTAGGTTGTTGAAGAAATTGGGATGTGGAGACATAGGAAGTGTATATCTAGCAGAGTTAAGTAGCACGAGGACTTGTTTTGCTATGAAAGTAATGAACAAGACAGAATTGTCAAGTCGCAAGAAGCTTCCGAGAGCACAGACAGAGAGGGAGATATTGCAGTCTCTAGATCATCCATTTCTACCGTCATTGTACACACACTTTGAGACGGAATCATTCTCTTGCTTGGTTATGGAGTTTTGTCCTGGTGGGGATCTCCATGCACTCAGGCAAAGACAACCTGGGAAGTATTTTTCAGAACATGCTGCAAGGTTAGCGTTTACTTTTTCTCCCCTGTGTAAATGAATTTCTAGACTGTCATGGTGTACTTTCCATCAATTATGCATCAAGGACCATCACAAACCATTATGTCATTTTCCACTAATTGTATTTTATGCGGCTTTCACATTCTAAATGAATTTAATACACTCTGTTATTGCTTAGTGGTCTTACAGTTCCCCATTTTCTTGTCACTTTTCACTTCAATTCTGATGAATGCCATGTCACTTGGATCTCTTCCATATACAGATCCTTGTTAATGGCCTTTACAAATCTCGAGATATGTAAGCAATATCAGTATTTATTCTCTACTTATGTGAATAATTAGTATTTGCTGTTTTTTGCCAATTACTTCTGCACTTGATTTACAGCTAAAAAGAATCCAATATCAATTAATTTGTCACTCCTCTTATCTTCAGTCCTATCTAGAAGACAAATATATATGAATGATCAACATATAGCTCTTAATAACATGTTTAGCAGACCCGCGCTTTAGCATGGATGCTTGATTTTTATTTTTTGGTTGAATGTTTTGAGAAGTATGAAAGACAGTACAACTAAGCATTTTTGTCATTTGGTTAATGCCTACTGTGCAGGTTTTATGTGGCAGAAGTTCTCCTTGCTTTAGAGTACTTGCACATGCTTGGGATCATCTACAGAGACCTCAAACCTGAGAATGTGTTGGTGAGAGAAGATGGTCACATCATGCTATCAGATTTCGATCTCTCTCTAAGATGTGCCGTCAGTCCAACTCTGGTAAAGTCATCAAACACCAGCTTGGAGACTAAAAGCTCAGGATACTGCATTCAGCCCGCTTGCATTGAACCAACTTGTGTAATCCAGCCAGACTGCATCAAACCGTCATGCTTCACGCCGCGTTTTCTATCAGGCAAATCCAAGAAGAAAGAAAAGAAGTTGAAACCTAAGAATGACGTGCACAATCAGGTGACACCTCTCCCTGAGCTCATGGCCGAGCCCACAAATGCCCGATCAATGTCCTTTGTTGGCACGCACGAGTACTTGGCACCCGAAATCATCAAAGGCGAAGGTCACGGCAGTGCTGTAGACTGGTGGACATTCGGTATATTCTTATACGAGCTTTTGTTTGGTAGAACACCATTCAAAGGTTCAGCAAATCGAGCGACTCTATTTAATGTAGTTGGGCAGCCCTTAAGATTTCCTGAATCCCCTAGTGTTAGCTTTGCTGCTAGGGACTTAATTAGGGGTCTACTTGTGAAAGAGCCTCAACACCGTCTTGCGTATAGACGCGGAGCTACAGAGATAAAACAACATCCATTCTTTCAAAATATTAACTGGGCGCTGATCCGTTGTGCAACTCCTCCGGAAGTGCCAAGACAGGCCATGAAAGAAGCACTGATAGCCGAGAAGAAAGCACCTGGTGTGAAGCCTTCTGGTAACTATTTAGATATTGATTTCTTTTGATCTGTATGCATGTTATCTCCCTTGAACTAATTATTTTGCATCTTGTATTTGTGTTGTTGTTCGTCCATGGTTGTTTCCATTGTATAAAAGAATGCAACTCTTTCGTCTACGTTGAATGAATCACCACTTGTAAGATACTCCAGATTGTTTTAAATTGATGAACAAAGTCCCATTTATTAATTTATTCTCGTTCCTTTGTTATGAGTATTCCTATATTGTTTGCAATGTCTGCATCTTTCCGTTTTTTGCAAAAAATAGTTTAGGCGAGTTGGACTTGAAAGTTCACCTGGATTAGAGAAGACTTGTTCAGAGAGGGAAATGTCTACATATTTAAATGCTCATTAAACTGACCTATTGTGCAGAATCAATCAAAAACTTAAAACAGGCCTATAAGCAAATGATCAATACAAAAAATAGAAAAATTCAATTTGTGATTAGCAATAATAAATGCTAATCTGTCTCTATCTGTGTAGTTGGTTATTGCCGTTAATGAGTAAAAATAATCAATGCTGAACTGAGATTAGTTTAAACGTGTACTTCCATGTCCCTATTATCAGATTAACTAATCTTACTTGCATTGCACGCCTCCATAACCACTATATCAGATTAATAGTATGACTGAGATTTAAATGTGAGAAAGCGCGTGATGTGATCCAGCATACAAGGGAAAAACTACTTGAATTCATCCCAAGTTTGGCGATGGTCCTTGGTCCTGCATACACAGGAATCTACTCCAATTCGTCCCGACATTGACGGTGATAGTCAGTCTTGACTAAGTGTGGCGGTTTTATTGTTGGAGTTTGGGTTTAGGGTTTTTTTTTATACATATAGGTGTTTATTTCAAGGATTTATAAAAGATTTTCAAGAATAAGTTATCTGAAAATAAAAATAAAGATTAATTTTCCGGTATTTTTCTAAAATTGTGTTTATAATTCGATGTTCCATGTTCTTTTTAAAAATTATGTGAAATTTCACGAGGATGAACATTTATTTCATTCTCTATAATAAAATCATGAGAATTATAGAAACTAAAGACTTTATTTCATTCAAAAAGAACTTTTATTTTTTAAAATAATTTTTTTTAGGCCTTGTAATAAACATAAGGACAACCATTTTCAACCCATATATTTCATATTTCCAAAAATATAATTATTAAACTTCAAACAAACGTTCCATATTTATTCATTTTATTTAATATTTTTAATTTCGTATCTTCTCAAGAAAATAATATAGAATTACTATTATTTTATTTTATTATTGTTTAATCATTAATATAGTATTATCTTTTGTATACGTTGAATAAATAGAATAAAATAGAAAAACAAGAATTTTTTTGTCCCAAAATAGGGGGATTTTGATCCCTGATTTTTTTCAGATGAGTTAACATGGTAAAATTTTAATTCAGAGTCGATTTTTCAGAAAACTGAGTTTTGTTATGTTATGTTGCTTAAAGGCCAGAGGCGCAAGAATGCAAGATCTAGAACACCGAAATCATTTAGTTACATTTTATTTTGTTATACAATATATCAATTAATACAATTGATACACATTAATTCAAATTGATACAAATGTTAAAATATTTCGGATATGCCCGAAAACCTCTGGAAATGAAATATTGAGATACTTCAGATATGTATATCCGAAAATTTCTGAAACTAAATATGGAGTGCGTTCGAATGTGCACATCTGAACGGTATTTTTGAATTTTCAAAAGTGTTTTTTATTATATAAGGGTAAAATTCCCTAATTTAATTGATTCGAGAAAAATGTTAATAAATAATTCAATAGTCGAAAGAAATTGTAAAAATTTAAAAATAATAACACCTAGTTTTTACTCAAGCTTGAATATAAAATTGTAGGATGGTATTTTAGCAACTTACTCTTTCCACCCTCATTGTTGGAAGCAATAGCAATGAGGTTCATGAAAGGAGGTGACAACAAGATATTTAGAGAAGGGTGACAAACACATAATAGTATTTGAGGATTTCTTATTCCACCTTATGTATTTGAAAATAACTTTATGATATGAAAATTCTAATTAGTCCCTGCGTTTCTTGAATTGTATTTCTGGGACGCACATTTTTTTTGTTAAAATTTAATTATTCTCGGAGATGCATCTACAATAGGGAATTAGAAATGCAACACCGGTTAATTAGTGTGGGAAATTAAAAATTCTGCCACCTTTTGCATATCAAATATAACTGGATATGTATTTCTGGAAAAATCAAAAGTCAAATTGCTTAAAACAACAACTAGCATGAACCAGGGTGATCACCTTCATTTCCAAAATTTTCCATAACCCTTTCCAAAAACCCTTCTATTCTCAATCAAGTTTTTCACTCCAAATTTTCATTCTTGAGGTTCTTCAAATCAAAAGGAGCTAAAGGAAGCGGAATTTAAGGTAAAGTTCCTTGATTTCAACTCACATTCATCACATCAATCTGGTTTTTCATGGAAAAAAAGTCATGTTAATACCAAAAATATACTTCAGGGTATGCAAGAAACTGAACCGGATATACATTTATGGTTTTCTGTCTGTACTTATTTTCCAGCACTTTATTCGTTGCTATGGATGTTTGTTAGTTAAATGATTTTTTTACGCTAGGTATGGTGCATCTCGATGTTACCCAAATCTATTGTGTCCCAAATTTTTTCACCTCTCTTAGTTAAGGCGTAGATATTCAAAACCATTTTGAAAATGAACAAGAGTGTGAATTTTATGATGACATGTTGTAGTAGACTCGTACACAGGCCACCAAACTAGGGTTTGGTGTTGTGATCGGAAGGTCCAATAATAGTTCAGATAAAAGATGTGCATTTGGGACATTGACATGTGAAAGAAGTGGAAAATATAGACGTCCTATCCGAAATTTGAAACGAGATGATACTGGTTCAAGAAAGTGTGAATGTCCATTTAAGTTGCATGGTTATCAGTTGGAAAATAATAAATGAAGTTTTAATGTGATATGTGGTTTGCATAATCATGATTTATGTGCAAACTTAGCTGGTCATCCAAGTGCATATCGGCTCTTGGCGAAAAAGAAGGAATGTGTTTCCGACATGACATTGAATTTGGTACCTCCCAAAAACATACTTGGAACCTTGAAGTGCAAAAGATCCAAAAAGATCTTAAATGTCAAGCAAGTTTATAATAGGCGCTATCAAACCAAATTAGCATTTAGGGGGGATCGAACTGAAATGAAACACCTCTTGAAACTTCTTCTATATGATAACAATTACGTTTCTCGGCACCGGAGATGTGAGGATGTAGTAACAGTATGAGATACATTTTGGACTCATCCCGATTCCATTAAGTTGTTCAATATGTTTCCCACTATGCTTATAATTGATTCAACATATAAGACCAACATATATATGCTTCCATTGTTGGAAATTATTAGTGTTACGTCGACTGAGAAGATATTTTCTGTTGGTTTTGCATTTCTAGAGTGCGAAAAAAAAGGACAATTTTGCACGAGCTTTAGAGGTCTGTCGGTCAATATTGAAGGACAAAGAAGATATGCTGAAAGTCATTGTTACCGATCGAGATACCATATTAACGAATTCAGTTGCAATAATATTTCCCACTTCTTATGCATTACTATGTAGGTATCACATTACTAAGAATGTGAGAAGTCATGTTAAACCCGCAGTGGAGGAAATTATGGATGCATGGATTACTATAATAAATGCATCTACAAAAGAGCTACATATTGATGTTGTTATACATTTCAGGAAGGTGTGCGCGAAATATCCTGATTTACTGAAATATGTTAAAAGTACAATTTTGGACCAGTTAAAGGAAAAAAATTGTTTGTGCTTGGACTGATCAGGTTATGCACCTTGGAAATATAACAACAAACTGGGTTGATTATGCTCATGCTTGTCTGAAGAATTGGTTGGAAAATAGCAAGGATGATTTGTGTGTGGATTGGGAATCTGTGAACCAAATGATATTAAACCAGCATAATGAGATACAAACATCATTTGATTGTAGTATCACAGTGTTGGAATATAGATTCAAAGAAAACACTTTATATTCTCAGTTGGTTGGCAACATATCTCGATCAACTATGAATTATATTTTTTACGAAGCCAAACGAGCTTCTAATGTAGGTTCTGATAGCTCAAAGTGTGGTTGCATACTTGAGAAAACACATGGTCTCCAATGTACTTGTGTCATATCTAAGAAGGTTAAACTTGATTGCCCGATACGAATGGATGAGGTCTGCAATCATTGGAAGAGGCTCAGTTTTGAAGATGATGGTGTTATGAAAGATGGTAAATCGAATATATCTATCCTGGCTTAATGGGAAGCGATACAAGAAAAATTTATGAAAGCCGATGACAATAAAAAACTCCATATAAAAAAGGAATTGAGGAAGATTGCATTCCTGGAGACCGCCGACTTGAAACCACCTTTTCAACCGATAAAAACCAAAGGAGCACATAAGAAGGTGAAACCTACACCGGGTGACAGTTCAACAACAAAGAGTACATCATATTTTGAACACATTGACAAAGGTTTTCCCAATTCACCGACTCTGAAATCTCATAAAAGTATTTGGCTTAATTACAACTTTGATCCCCCCATTTAACCTTTTTGTTGATTTTGATCCCCCACTTTTAAAATTACTAATTTAGTTCCTTTTTCAATTTTTGTGTTTGAATTTAGCCTCCCATTCAATTTGGTGCTTATTTGCAGTGACGTGACCCAATTTTAGTTGAGTTGACATATAATATTTTATCCACGTCATTTTTTATATATTTTTTAATTTATAATTATTGAAATTTTATTGTATTATTTTATTGATTGTGTGTTATGGTTAAAGCCAATTTTTTTAAAAATGGTCCCAACAAAATTTGAATTCAAGACCCTTAGCTTTTGAAAGAGGCGCCCAACCACTAAGATGTGGATGTTTCACCCAACCACTAAGATGTGGATGTTTCTTTGTTAAACACTTGAAACAGATATATGTAATAAATGAAAAAAATACTAG